CTCCCAAAAGGCAAATCTAAGAAATTTATACTTTCTCAATACATGTAGCTTTTTAGCTGTATTTAGATAACCAGCAGTGCCTCGACAGCAAAGCAAGTTCCGCAACTGATAAATCTAAAAATTCTACACCCATTTGTCATCCACAGATTTCTAGCTTCTATAAAGAAGTTGTAAATCCAAAGAAATGCTACTAATTTTTGCTCTACTTTTCCGTTGCTTTAGCTGGAAATTTTAGCACCATCACTAATGATAATTGAGCTTGCTCGCCGAAAATTCACAATTCTGCATATTGTTTAGGTGAAACTTAGTATGAAGCTTCAAATTTAATGAAACTGCACGTCAGGATATATGACACTCTTATCCTATAATTTAGTACTAAAAATGAAGTTCTAAAATCTGTCCGAGTTTATGTATGAAGCTTTGTGGTTGTTGAATAGCAATTATCTTCTGAATCAAAATATCAACAATCCAAGATTTCAAAATCCTACCACAAACCAAACAACTCTATAGACTGTTTTTGATAATATCAACACTTGTTAACCAGTGTGTGACTAAAGCCCAATCCAACAAAGGAAAGCAGCTGGCCCATTAGTGTTTGCTGAGGAGAACCGGCCCAGTGTAGTTATTCATTTACTTGTATTGTATATTTTTACTTGTATTTTTCTCCTTCATATACTAGTAAATATAAAAGGACATAATCAGTTTCGGGTCGATTAATATTTGGACCAACTCATATCTTTCTCTCGAACCTTCTGTGCCTCTCTTCTCTCTTCTGTCAATGTTAGGGTTTTCTTTTTCATTTGTCCCGCCATAGCTGGTCCCTGTACCAAATTGACGTGGTATTAGAGATGGGATCTAAATTCCTCTCATCATGAGCTCTCTTCCGATTGTACCCTTGCCAGAAGTTTTTCCCGTTTTGGTTTTGGTTGAAGTAAAAGGTAGTCGAAATTGTGCTATTTTTTTCACTAGAGAAATTTGGGGGGGTTTCAATTTCGATCCTTGGTTGAGGTATATCTTCTCTGAAATTCTGGGTTTTCACGAAGGCGTCGTTACATTTGGGAGCAAAAATCATGTCTAGAGTTTGCGATTAGACGAGACCTTACTTCTTCGGGTTTTCAAAAGAATGCTGGTATATTTTTCCCTATTTGCATGTGTTGATTTTCTGTTGATTGCATCTCCGTTTTACCTCTGTTGTTGCCAGTCGACTTTTATTTTTTTGAATTGTGAATTCGTTCTGATTGGGTGTGAGAATGCGTAGTATACTGAATAATGATGATGTGTCTTCGACTCCTGATGGTTTTATTCCTTTTTCACTGGATCCATCTCACCCTCTCTATATTCACCCGTCTGATAATCCTGGTAGTCAATTAGTGTCTGTGCCATTCAATGAGTCTGGATTTGTACTTTGGAGAAGTAGTATGGTCACTTCTCTCTCTGCAAAGAATAAATTAGGGTTAGTAGATGGTAGAGTCTCTCGGCCCATACAAGATTCCCCTTACTATGCGTATTGGGAACGATGTAGTGACATGGTCAAGTCTTGGATAACAAATTCAGTATCTAGAGAGATTGCTACCAGTATGATGTGTTTTAGGACTGCCAAGGAAGTCTGGAAAGACATTAATGATAGGTTTGGGCAGTCAAATGGGTCTAAGTACATCCAACTTCAAAGGGAAATCCACTCTGCTACTCAGGGGTCTTCTGACATAGCATCTTACTTTACAAAGATGAGAAGCCTCTGGGATGAGCTACATTCCTCATATGTAGGACATGTATGCTCTTGTGGTGCCTTGCCCAAATTCATAGAAGATCAACAATTATTCCAATTTCTAAATGGTTTAAATGACTCTTATTCAACTGTAAAAAGTGCTATTATGATGATGAACCCTCTTCCACCAATGAGCAAGGCTTATTCCCTTCTTCAACATAATGAAAGTCAAAGGGAAGCTCATTCTTCTGTCCCAAGTATTTCTGGAGATACATCTTCCTTTCTAGTTTCTCCTGGATCATCAAATGGGAACAGAACCTTCAGTCAAAAGGTGAATTTTGAATCCAGGAGGTCTAATATAAATGCTTCTTGCAAATATTACAAAAAACCTGGACACACTGTGGACAAATGTTACATGCTCCATGGATTTCCTACAGACTTCAAGTTCACAAAGAACAAGAAGTCTGCTTCATGTGTTCAGACTGAACCTCCTTTCACTCTCTCTACACATCTACATGGTATTCTAACTACACAGCTCTCTGAGTCATCAGCTCATGGTTTTACTAAAGAGCAGTACCAACATCTCCTAGCTCTATTTCAGCAGGCTCAACTATCTTCTGGGTCAACTCATGATGATTCTAGTGTCAACAACACTGCATTTGCATATTTTGCAAGTTTGTTTAGTAGTTAAAAGTAAATCCTTGGATATTAGATACAGGTGCAACTAACCATATGACTCCACATAAACACTTACTCTTTAATGTAAAACCTTTAACTAAACCATTTCTTGTCACTTTGCCAAATGGATATAAAGCCAAAGTAGTTTCCACTGGATATTTACATCTCAGACATGATGTAGTCTTACTCCATGTTCTTCTGGTTCCTTCCTTTCAATTCAATTTGATTTCTGTACACCAACCCATCTGTCAATTAGATTGTTCAGCTTTATTTACCAAATTAATTTGTTCTTTACAGGGCCCTTCTCTGAAATGGCCACTGGAAATTGGTAAGGCTGCAGGAAGGTTGTACTACCTATATCCAGATGCTGATCATTTTCCTGTCACATCCACTTCCATGTCTGTTTCTCATTCATATGTTAGTTTACCTATTTCTGCTCATTCTGTTAACATTAGTCATGTAGTAGATCATGTTGTTGATTTTGTCTCTTGTAATCACACATCTAAATCTAATAAAGTGGATTTGTTTTAGCATCAAAGATTGGGGCATATGCCTTTCCACAAAATGAAGTCCAATATATATTTGTCTGACAAAATATCACCTAAACAATCTTTCTTGTGTTCTATTTGTCCAACGGCTAGACAACAAAGACTGCATTTTCCTGAAAGTGTTATACATTATATTGTCCCATTTCAATTAGTCCATAATGATATTTGGGGTTCTTATAATACTAAAACTTACATGGGTTCAGATATTTCTTGACCATAGTAGATGATTATACAAGGGCTACATGGACTCACCTTCTTTCCTGTAAGAGCATTGCACTATATATCATTAAGGGTTTTACAGCCATGGTCAAAGTGCATTTTATATCCTCGATTCAAACTTTTAGGTCAGTCAATGCTCTTGAACTTGGGGGCAGTTCCGAGGGAACTCATTTCTTTAATAG